ATTTATCATTTGTATTTATTATTTTCCTTCACGGACAGCACTGTCGACATCTGCTTAAAGACAGAAAGCTAGTCAAAACCAGTGATGTTGACAGGGGATGGAAAAAGAAGCCAGCAGTGGTTCTGGTCAGTTCTGGTTGATTGTGGTGGGAGGGTAACCCAGATTATTTGTCCTGTGCTCCTCCAGGGGTCCTTCCGCGGCTCCACCGCCCCTGTCCAGGCCTCCCCTCGTCGCCGTGGCGATGAGAACGCCGTGGTGCACTTCTTCAGATCCATTGTGAGTAGCGGATATCAGCAAAAACCCTCCCCCTCTATCTTTCCCCTTTCCCCGTCTCTACCCCTCTCTCTCTCTCTCTCTCTCTATCTGTGTTCATTGTCTGTAAAATATTTCTCATACCTTTTATTGCTTGGATCAGTGACCCCAGTCAGAATGTTGGAAAAGCACAAGAAATATGCTGAGACTAATGTCCTCCAGTGTCCTCAGAAACCGATTCCCTAGACCTGACGTGTTGGAGTCAGGTTCCAGGCATAGTTCGCAGGTTTCCCCTTGGGGGTCCACCGTGTCCCAGAGGTGATTGAATCGAGTTGCCAGTCGGCGTGCCGCTGCCTGAGGAGGGCCGGACAGCTGGTCGCTCTTCTGCACTTAATTAACGCGGCGCATGTCTCTCCGACAGAAATACTGATCATCCTTCATGGAGAGAAGTTTAGACTTGACAACGAGTAATTAAGTGCAGTGGTCTAACCTCCAAAGGTGCTATTAGAGGAAAATATAAACTTTTCAAGATGTTCTTCTTGCAAATTCTGGCCCACTTTCTCCACACTCAAAATAATTATTCTCCAGGTGTGCTTGTGACAAGATGGACTCTTCAGCTAAGACTCGTTCTTGGTTACTTTCTTTTGTTTGACAGCCAGGCTTAATTTGGAAAGAGAATCAGGGTGTTGAAATAGCTGTGTTTTGAGACACAGTAAGGCAATAAGTTCTGGCACATAAACACTTGGACTGCATACAAATTCAGTCATTCGTCCTCAAATTCCAATCAAATCTTCCTATTATATTCAGTTTTTCATCATAAACATGTACTTTTTGAAAAATAGTGCAATGCCTGGTGAATCCTCTCACTTTACTAACTAAATTCATTGAAAAAACATTTGATTTAATTCTTTTTAGACATTTCACAAATATGATACAAATATTTACCATAATCTCAAGCAATGCCCCTGAGAGATACTGTATTAGGGGAAATCGGAAACTTTCAGAAGTATAAACAAGCTACAATTACACTTCATGTGAAACTGTCACAGATTAGTTACTGCTATTGGCATGTCACTTTTCTAATCTCATGTACACATGCATGTTGTGTGCAGCCTATAGATCACAGATATACCTGTCACAGCAAAGCATACACAAAAGCCTAAAGAAAGATGGAAATCAACTGTTTGTCACTTCTCCTCGGCCTGCTCTCAAACGTTGCTGGGTAATTATTTTCACCCACTGCCTTTGGTTGCTATGCGCCTGACAACAGTGACGGGAACTCCTTAACCAGGCCAAGAAGGAAAACAGAATGTCTCTTCTCCCTAATGATAAACTTTCTCTGCTTGTAGTCATTGGTTTTTTTTTTCTTTGTTTGGCACAGAGACAGAAAAACATGTCTGACCTCTAAGCACTGATAGGACAGGTAATTATCCGTTAACCTATAGCAGCGATGACTAGCGTATCATGGCTAATTATGTTTTTTGTATTTTTTTGTTTGTTCTCCTCAGGTTTCCCCTCCTCCTCCCAAATCCAGGGTAAGTTTACTCCTTCTATTTCTCTCTCTGTCTTCTGCTTTTTCTTTCTCTTGCTCCTTCCTGCTTTGGGTTAGACTTGTGGCATGGATCGCAGACAATCAGATGACAGTGTGTTTTGCAAGACACCCTTCTCATCGTCACGTGACAATCCCTTCCCAGGAGGCTTCAGAGAAACATCTGAAGCCTCCCGTTAAACAAGACCATTGCAATTTGAGAAATATATGCTTTTTTCAGATGATGTTGACTGATGTATTAGCAGTGGAGAGTACAGAACAATGAAACAGAGATAAATGTAAGAATATGAAAAAATACATAAGGACCCATATTAGTCTTTGTATTATCATCTCACTGAGGTGTATAGGGTCAGGATTAGGAGTCGTCTCAGTGCTGTTGTCACCAGATCTATGTTGATGTTTGCCAGCCTGGGGGAGGCCGGGTGTGGTGGTACAGGCGCACAGAATACCTAGCGATCTGGACTCTACCACCGCGTCTCCAAGATATCCCCTCATGACCCCTGTCTCTGTCTCTTTCATGTCCAGTGGAGAGGACTTTCTGCCAAATTAGGCCTGGTAGGTGATTCAAATGCAATCCCAAAACAACAACAACAAAAATCCTCCATTTGCCCCTGGTTTTTTTCCCCTTCCTTTTTTCCCCCGAACATTTCGCCAAACCTCCTCTTTTGGCTGACTCCATATTTTTCCCCTACCCGTTTTTTTTTTTTTTTCTTCCTTGTTATTTTGAATAATTTTTCCTCTGCATGGTACCTCTTCACCTTGACCTGTGTTTGACCTCACTCATTTTTTTTACCCAGCAGTTGCTTCTCCCTCATTGGCTGTGTTCTGTGTGGTGATCACTTACGTTATTTAACAGTTCAGACAAAACTCTGCAAGAACAAGAGGTGTTTATTTTGTTTCGTTTTATTTATCTTTGTTTTGGGGTGGGAAGGGGATGAGTTTGGGGTTAAGGTAATGTTTTTATCTACCAATGTATTCCCCATACCTGTTTTACCCAGTTTTCCCTCAATATAATTTGCCTATATTGAAGTTTAGCTATTCCTGCAACATTGTTATTTTCATTGCAACAATGACAGTTAAAACTGGAAATATTCTACACTCCTCATAGGCCATGGAAGGTTGACTGAGAGAGATGGATTTGTTATAAAAAGGACATGCTCTCTTGGCAAACATTCCCCCATTATACGCTACTTAAAATAACCTATCTTTTCCTTTTACATATAGCAGATTTGGTGACCTATGCAATATGGAGCTTTTGCATGTGTCAGAAATAAACACAACATGTTAGCCATGTGTCATCTCACCCTAAAAATGAAGGGTAATCACTATCTCCCCATGATAAATGTCCGTTGACCTGAAAATGACCCATTTTTGCTGATATGATTAGTCCATCAACTTAGTGTTTCGTGAGGAGGTTTTAGAGCAGAACCCCAAACTGCAGCTGTCTCCATAAGACTTTCATTTTTAATGAGTCTCAGCGGAGCCCCTTTAATAGACTAATCAAATCTGCAAAAAGATGCATCAGAGATCTGCCACTTTTGAGTCAAAGCATTTATCAAGATAAGAATCTCGATAAATACCCTTCATTTTAAGGGTGGAATATCCTTTAAGAAGATAGGAGCATTACAACAGGTTATAACTGTTCTATGTGGTTTCAAAAATATTATATAGGTTATATACTTGACAAACAACAATCAATTATCAGCAGAGTGCTGTTCAAGTAAAGCATATACAATCCCTCCATTGAGTTCTGTGTTTTATGAAGAGGTTTAGTTATGTATTATTTTTATTTTACCTTGATTTAACCATAGGTCAACTAGGAATTCAGTTTCCTTTGCTAGTGATAACCTGGGGAATCTAATTGGATTGGAATATCAAAGGTTTCTGTAGCCAATGAGATGCAGCCAGATGTATAGAGCCTGGCCTTCTCTGTCTCCATGAAGTTTTCTGCTCTGACCACAGTCTTCTGTAGCACAATGCCCCCAAAATTATATTAAGTTCAAGGGGAAGGGTGTCTGATCCTGGTCCACCAACTCCTCCTCTAGCAGAAATTTGGTCATCTCAGGAGGTTTTGCATCCAAGTACTAACCAAACCATTTTTTTGCTAGCTTATTTCTTGGCCTCTTTTGTAATGTATTGAAACCTGTTATGAATAGAATTCAGTTGTGGAATTTTGTTTGATTGTCACAATGAGTGAAAATTAGCTGACCTGGAAGGACCAGTAAATGTCAGTGTAAAAACTTAATATTCATGAATACATAAAGTAAGTAAATAATAATTATGACCCTATTATATACTGCATATTATATTTTTTAATTATCTTGCAACTGTCCTTCAATGAAATATGGCCATTCATTGTGTAATTTAGTTTACTAAGATCATTTATCCAGAATGGCTCATGACTATTGGTTCATTTCTCTTATGTAGCTGGACCCTTTTTGAACCAGAATCCAAGTAGAACTTCAATTACCCATGATACTTTTCAGCTGCCTTATGTCATAACCATATGGCAGCCTCATTTTATGTCTATAGGATAGACTCCACTGCCATAATTCATTAGAGAGTGAATATTTTCAGGTTAAAGCAGCAGTAACTGTCTCAAAATGTGATGGATGGACTTGTTCAGTGTGTAGTAATGCATGCTTTGTTTGAGACTTTCTTTCTCTTCTTCCTCAAGGTTACACTGAATTAATCAGCATACTTCTCCCTTATCTTCCCTCTTTCTTTGATATATTTTTCTTTTCAAAACTTCCTTTTCATCCAACACTGTTAAGCCTTTGCTCTCTACTGCATGCAGGTCAAATACTCACTCTCAACTAGAATCCACAATCAACCAGACGGTTGAGGAGTGAGTCAGTTGGTGACAAAATGTCTGGCCCTTACATTTTAATGACAGTGACCTACATGACTGGTTTTCTTCAAGGTTATTTAATTAACCATGTTAACTTTTCTTGTTAAAGAAAAGTTATGGCAGAATGCTTCGTGCCTTGATTATTCCATATTGTTTTTCCTTATTGTTTATCATTAATGTAGAGTCCAGCACATCTTATAACACCATGGTGATACGATACATATTGTATGCCATTGTCATAAGATGCAAATATACTTGCTATATGCACTTTGATCAGTCATACCAAAGCATATAGTTAAACTACAGACATTAACTTCAAGAGGTATATTTACAAAGGGGTGACATACAGCTGTGTAGTGTAATGGTTAGGGATTGGGCTTATAACCCAAGGTTGCAGGTTCAATTCCTGGAAAGGGCACTGCTGTTGTACCCTTGAGCCAGGTACCCAATCCCAATTGCTCAAGTAAAAATGTCCAGCTGTATAAATGAATAGTAAGTAGAAACTGAAAACTATATAACACTCTGGATAAGAGTAACTGCAAAATGGCGTAATGTGTCATTGGATACATAACTTGGAATAGAGGAGATACTAGAGATAAGAGCATACTGCAATGAGCAGCCTGGTGAAATTACAAGCAGAAAACCCTCCCAGCTTTCACCAATTACCTGAGCATGTATCAGATGTAAATACTGTCACCCTTCTGTGAATCTGCTGTACAATCTTGCCAAACATGTCTGCGGAACCAGGGGCTGAATTCATAAAACGTCTCTTCGAAAGAGCACTTATTTATGAAACATTTTGATGAAAACAAAGGCTACGTAAACCTGAGGCTAACAGGCTTACAATCGTAAGTTGTTTGACTGAATGGCATATGCCCTTAAAGAGTTTAAACACTTTTGATTGAATCAATCCCATAGACTGATTCATCTTATGAATAATTATTTTTCATTTTGTATTCAGGCATACATGCCTTACTTATATGTCAGCAAAGCATTTAATGCTTAAGTCTTTGTGGCACCACTGAAATGTGGCCTGAAAGGCTGGGCTGTTCTCATTAAGCTGTTCCACAGCACTGACTGGGCATAACTTTTTAGGTGATAGAAACTTTATTATACATATTTAAAATGGAAATGTCTGCTTATACATTACTGAATGTCAAGCATCATTCCCAGCTCTGACTAAAGGTGCACCTTTGTCTTTTTTCTGAGAGTTTGTTGCTCTTTTTTGATGTAGTTTAGTCCTGAGACATTCAAGAATGCTCTCTGAAGTGTGGGATTTAAAGGTGTGACTGAATTTCAAGGGTTTAGTCCTTTTTTTTCTCAAGAGACACGGAGAGAATGTTTATGAACACGGCCCCTGACGCGGTGAAGCAGTATTCCGGGCCTCCGCGCCACTATGACACTTCATCACCATGACGACTTGATGACGTCACCACCACGGCCCTCCCCCGAGGTGTCGTTTGTTCTACCTCGGCTTCGTTCTTTTGGCCCCCCCCAAGCGCGGAGTTCTTCTCTTTCCTCTGCGGAGCGAAGGCCCCGGCACCAGCCCTGGCCCTGACCTGGCTCGGCTCGGCTTGGCCCAGCCCTGGTCCGGCTCGACTCGGCCCCTGGCCCTCTGCTGATTCCTGACTTTGGGTGTCTCTTTCCAGGGGGACCAGAGGTCCTCGCAGTCTCGCTCTGACGCCAGCAAATCTCCATTCAAAGGACAGAGAGATCGCCGTGGAGAAGGGGAGGGAACTCTGTCCAGGATCTTCAAAATGGTAACCAAAAAAAAAAAAACAAACAATCGCCGTTTCTCTTTACGCCCAGAGCAAGAGGACGAGGTACCTCCTCCACAGCTGGATAAAGAGAGGAACCCTTGTCTCGGGCCTCTCTCTCTCCAATCATGCTATCAAATCAATACCATCATCTTCATCAGTGAGCAACCAGTCATAAACCTACTATCTAGTCAATCAGCCTAGTAATTAATACTGGCACTACATGCCACCTCACTTTGGAAATGTTTCCTTACGGATGCCTTTTCTTATGCACTTGACACCCAGAGTGCATTAAACTAAGATGTTGGCATTTTGGGTCAGTGGAAAGACTTCTCTCCTGAGCCGCATAAAGAAGCAAAACCTGAAAAAACCTATTTCCCTCTTAACTGCCTTTTGGCTGAGTGGATATCCTTATATGGAAGTGTATCCGGGCTTCATTTTCATATTATCCATTGTCAAAGATGAATGTTTGCTGTAGCTATTCTGGTTGAGGATGCAACCACAGTGCCCCACCCTTAAACTACCCCTAAAACCATCTTCAGATAGATCCTTAAGTAATTATGACAACAATTATTTACACCAAAACTATATCACAATCATACATAATTGTCTAAAATGTATGCATTCTGAGCAGGACCATTTCAGGGCCCAACTGGGTGCTTCTGCTTTGGATTGGGTATTTATTAATTAACTTGTGACAGGAAGTCCATTAATTCATGACTTAGTTGCTTGCTTTCTTAGTCAGCCAATATTCTTTCCCAAGCTAGCAAGCTGGCAAGCAAATGCTAAAAATTTTAAGATAGCAACAGAATTGAGCTGAATGGTTTAGCCGTTCATACATTTGAGCAGGAAAAGGGACATTGTTGCAGAATTGCAGGTTGGTACAACTTGCTACCTCAGCTAATGTACCTATATTAATCAATTGACCTAGCTGGCTGTGATGTTGGCTGTATCTGAGGTATCTCATCTCTAAGCCAGCGGCCAAGCTGACTATGTTTCTAAAATATTTGTGAAAAATGTGAAAAAAAAAACAAACACTCATTGCTTGATGCAAATTTAGACATTTCTGACCTCAAGAATTCAGCCTCTTACCATTCCGTGTCTAAACCAAGAATGGGAGGCAATAAAATTTTAGAACAGAAACTGAATTCTGATTAAATATCTTAACAATACAGTCATGGCCATGTTGGAAGTATACTTTCAAAATTACATTAATCTCCTTTGCTGTCATATAAAAGAAAAGAAAATTTACATTTTGGTTGCAGGGGTACTTTAACAAATAACATTTGTTACCCACTTGAATATGAAAATGAGGAGTCCAGCATGCTTCAGGTGAGACCTTGACTGCTTAAGATCGGTCAGAACCACACTGTGGATATCTGTAAAACATGGCTGCTTGCTCACTCTTAACTGAAATCAGTGGTGTTCTGGTAAATCACCCATGTTCACTTTTCAGTCATGCCAAGGATGTTGCTATCACTGTGGAATATGTGTGTGTGTGTGTGTGTGTGTGTGTGTGTGTGTGTGTGTGTGTGTGTGTGTGTGTGTGTGTGTGTGTGTGTGTGTGTGTTCTTTGGGTGAGATTTTCGCTAAAAGGAAATACATGAAAGGTGAACCGTTGCGTGCTGGAGGGCTTTGAGCTGAGCGTTACAAACGACATCCAAAAATCTCAAATTCCAGACTCGTGGCCCGTGAGTTTAACAGAAATTGACTCCGGTCGTTATCCTGCTGAGAGGTGACTGCCTTTGAAATCAGTGTGATATCCCTTAAGCCGCCAATCAAACCCCCACAAAGGGGAACTCTTCCATCGAGCGTTGCCGTACTCATCTGAACCTCAGCGGGCAAAAATATAGCCTCTCCATCTATACGGGGATCACTAAAATTTGCAGGATCATGAGACCTAAACCTCTCGCCCCTAGCTGGGTTTTGAGAACCCTTGTCCTGAATCCTAATCTTTCTGGGCTCGTACCTGGAGGTGTTGCCAGTGAAATAATTATTTAATCCGCCCGAGCTCAAACCAAGCCAGTTTATTTATGCGGTCCAAGAAATTTCTGCTGCCTGACTAGCTCATTAGCGTCTGTATGATTGTCAACCCAAGCCCGTAACAATCAGGGAGGTAACTTCCTTCCATGCCTCAAGCACATCACAACGAGGCTGGGTGGCGAGGCCAGGTGTCTGGAAGGCGTTACTTAGAAGATATTCTCTGTTTCGGCTCAGATTGGACAGAATTACGTTCGCCAGAAGCATGTACCCTCAATTAACATTTCGCAGGCTTTCTAAATACCAATGCTCATGTGAGAAGACAGACTTAATTAGAAATAAGAACTTACACAAACAGTCCACTGAGTAGTGGAGATTACTGTAGGAGAAAATGCTGTCAAAGTCAACAGTTAAAAATGAAACAATGGGATAAAGTATGGATTTTTTAAATACACAGTGACTGGAACGCAATGTCACAATGTATAATTTCTATTTCGGAGTAGTCAAGTATGAATGTGTACCGGTAATTAAAAATACAAACTGTTTATCCTTGATCATGTGTTAAATGGGTTCATCCAAATTTAAAAATGTTAATTGATTATATATTGACAGACAGACAGCAGTGGCACCGTGTGTATGTGTGTGTGTTAAGCAGCTAGTGTCTTTTGTGTGCATGATGCACCTAGCTTGCTATTGCCACCATCTTCCTGTCACTATGAAGTCCCCTTTGCTGGCAACACAAAACGCCCGTCCTTATAAGTAAAAAGGGTGCATTTTAGTTTTTGAATAGTTGCGCATTTGCCCCACACTGAAAAGTAAAAGGTGTGTGTATGTTTGTGTGTGGTCATGTTGTGAATATTTATGAAAACCTGATTTTTCAACAGATAATCATCTGAGGTCATCTCACACTAATTAGCATAAATGACATGTGATTGATTTGTGATTGGTGCAAAATTACTATCCACACCTCCCTAAATGCAAAGCACTCCTAGAGGTATTACTGAAATACAGAAAACTGAAACTACATCTAAAGAACACAAAATAAAAGGAAATACTTACGCTTTAAAGATTCCTTAGCTTACCTAAGCTTACAGCTTCTAATCAGGATTTGATATACATCTGCTGAGCTATATATAGTATAAATTATTTCCCAACAATCATTTTTACTATACCACAGCTCTTCTTTAACTGCAATAATTATCTTTGACCAAACTAATGAGGAAAACACAGACAGACAATATGTTCTTTTGTTAACGCAGGAAGAAACATAGTAGAAACTCTGAGCTGTGGAGTCTCTAGAGAAGTGGGGAGCGCTATCTACACTACAGGAACTATTTAAGGGGATCATTAGATAAATTAAGCAGAGGGTGGATAACCAGGAGCAGCTAACTTGCCAGCTCCAAGGACAGGGGGTTTAAAGTTGGATACCCTATCAGGTGGTGTTTCCACGCTGGGTTGTTCTCACCTTAAGAGCTATAACCTTGAATTGAAAGGAGGGTTGAGATCTCCTGCCTCTAGTGCTCCTGTACTCACAAAACACCATTCAGCTTTACACAGGAAGTGTGTGTGCGTATATAGTGCAGTGCACGATTTCTGTTCTGGTTATTGTGGTCACCTTTGCTATTTGCACTTTGCTTATCACAGATTGCAATACTGGCCAAGCAAAGTTCTTCGCGCAACA